TATTATAATATAATCATAATTTTTAATTATTTTTAATAATTCAACTTTATAATTTATTAAACATTATTAAACTGATTTTAAAATCAACATAACTATTATAATTATAATTTATTAAATATTATATTATAATATAATCATAATTTTTAATTATTTTTAATAATTCAACTTTATAATTTATTAAACATTATTAAACTGATTTTAAAATCAACATAACTATTATAATTATAATTTATTAAATACTTATTTATTTTTTATAACAGTTATTTTTTTAGTAGAGATAAAAATAATTTTTATAAAATCTAAAATAATACCAAATTAAGACGAGAGAGAATTTCAGAACTCTAACCAAAAGAAAGAAAGAGAGAAAGAACTAGTTAACGCACAAACAACCAACCAAGCCAACAGACCCTGACAGAAACACGAGAGAGAGAGAGAGAGAGAGAGAGAGAGAGAGTGGAGAGAATGAATCTTCAGCCTCCTTCGACGCAACGACTCGCCGGTGACCAGAGGTTGTCTCTCTCTGTTCCCCATCGCTTCGCCACCGGAGGACTCCGACCACGACCACTATCACCGCCGCCATTCAATCTCGCATTCCTTCACCAGCGCACTCTCCCACTGCTCAACAGAAGCTCTCCGCCGCTTCTTCAAACCCTCGCCGTTTACTCCGGAGACAGGGACCACGCCACCGAATCGCCGGCCAAGGCGCTTCGTCGGATTCTGGAATCGCCGGGGATTCACCAGGGCCCTGCTTGTTTCGACGCTCTCAGTGCTAAGTTGGTCGAGAGAGCTGGCTTCCAGTTCTGCTTTTCTAGTGGTATATGCATGCGCTTATTTTCTTTGTTCCTTTTTTTTCACTGAATTCACCATAAGAATGAATCTCGTGACGACATCGATTAATTGCTGCAAAATTGGATAGTTTTCGAAGTTAAGGGATTGAGACATTATGGAGAGTTTTGTGTGTTTGTGTGTGTTATTGAACAAATGTTTGAAATGAAGCATGTGTGTAAGTGGTTGGTTAATGTCACTTAATTCATCGTATTACAACGAATTTCGTAATGAATTCGATTAATTGCTGCAAAACTGAATGGTTTCTAAGTTTAGGGATTTAGACATTAAGGAGAGTTTTGTGTGTGGGCGTGATATTTAATTTTAATTTCGGTCATTGACATTATGAATTTTTAAACTTAAATTTAGGTCTTTGACATATGTAATATATACTATTTGACAATTTTTTGAATATGTGGCTATTGTATGGTTTAACATAGGATCTTGTTTTGCGAATGATGTGGCAATTTCATTCATACGAGCTCATTAATGTTGAACAAAGGTTTGAAATGAAGCAAGTGTGTGTGTTGTTGGTTAATTTCACTTAAATCATCGTATTACCACGAATTTCATGACAAATTTGATTAATTACTGCAAAATGACAATTTTCAAGTTTATGGAACATTAAGAAGAGATTTGTGTGTGTGTCTATGTTATTGAACAAGTGAATGAAATGAAACGAATGTGTTTGTGGGGTTTTTTTGATTGGTTAATTCACTTAATTCACCATATTTCCACAAATTTCGAGCCAAATTCCGAGTAAGTGCTGCAAAATTGAATAGTTTTCCAAGTTTAGGGACTATGAAATTAATGAGAAGTTTGTGTGTGTATGTGTGTGTGGGTTTTTATTTTTATTTATTTAGTTTTTATTGCCATAGGGTTTTCGATATCGGGTGCAAGATTGGGATTGCCAGATACGGGGTTTATATCTTATGGAGAAATGGTAGACCAAGGGCGACTTATTACTGAAGCCGTCTCGATTCCTGTGATTGGGGATGGTGATAATGGATATGGGAACGCAATGAATGTAAAGAGGACTGTGAAGGGATATATTAAAGCTGGTTTTGCAGGGATTATACTTGAAGATCAGGTATTTGTGTGTCTTGCAACTTTGTTTATTTTTGTTGGTTAGAAGTTTGAGACCAAGGCATGCTTTAATATTTGATGGTCCGGGATCCTTGAGCTTGTGGACTTATTGAAAAGAAAAGTGGATACATTTATGATCTGAGTTTATGCGAGGATTTCATCAAAACTTGCAAGGAATTCTTGATATGGATCAAATAGAGCAATAATTAACTTTTCAAAGGTTGAAGATGAGGTTTTTTAGTCTTGTGATGCTGTTTCAGTTGCAAATTCGTCCCTGCTTACTTTTGCTTATGAAATTTCCATTGCAAGGTATCTCCAAAAGCTTGTGGTCATACACAAGGCAGGAAAGTGGTGTCAAGAGAGGAAGCTGTGATGCGGATAAAAGCCGCTGTTGATGCTCGAAAGGAGAGTGGCTCTGACATTGTCATTGTGGCGCGGAGTGATTCTCGTCAAGCTGTATCTTTTGATGAATCACTCTGGAGGTCAAGAGCTTTTGCTGATGCTGGAGCAGATGTTCTTTTCATTGATGCACTAACTTCAAGAGAAGAGATGAAAGCTTTCTGCGAAACTGCTCCCCAAGTTCCAAAAATGGTATCTTTGTACAGTACCAACTTTTGGATGTCGTTACACTGTTCATACTTATCAAATTACTAATATATTAAGGTTTTATAAGAAGTTTAATATTAGATTTTTTCATCAATGAAAGGGAAAAAAGAGAAGATATTAAGGTTTGGTTCTAGAGCTTGAGTGTTGAGTATGAAAATCTGTCATCTTCTTTTCTTTATTCTTGTAGAATTGTGCATGTATTAGGCCCTTTCTTAAGCAAGTGTATGTGAGAAGAGGAAAAAGAGGGAGAAAACACAGAATTAGGGGCCAAAGTGCGATTAATGAAAGTGGCCAAGTGTTGAGGTGGCATGTTAATGTTAGAATCAGGGGAATTTTGTAAGGGGGGTAGCTGATTAGGGTTTTTCTTATGCTATGTTAATGCTTTCTGCTATGGTTTAGGGCTGTTCTAGGAGTTCTACGGAGTTTCTCGAATACTCCATCTATCTGTTTAATTTCTGTTGCTAGTAGTGTAATCAGAGACTGGTTTTGTTGTTGATTATAATAATCCCCTGATTTCATTCCATTTTTTGTCTAAGTTCTACTCTGTGTGTGTGTGTTTGGCTGTGTGCAGAGGAGGAAGTTCAGGTACCTAACAACATGACATTCATGTTCATTATTTTCATTCTTTGAGGGGAAACAAAAATTTATTCACACCTCTGAAAACAATTTTATGCAATATTTCTTGACGAGTCTATTTTATGACTTAAATTGCATGGTTAAAAATATATCTCGATGTAAAGGAATTTATTGCATTGCTAATGAAGCTCCTTGGTTTCTGTTAGGCCAATATGCTTGAAGGAGGTGGAAAGACACCAATTCTCAATCTTCTTGAACTAGAGGATATTGGCTATAAACTTGTGGTATATCCACTTTCCTTGCTCGGGGTATCTATTCAAGCAATGCAGGTTACGTATCTAAATCTTCTCATTCTAAACTTGGTCCAGTGGACAATGATTATGGAGATTGGAAATTTTGATTTACTGAAAACTTCAATTACATAATAGTGACTTCAAAACACTGGAATCCTGAAATAATAGTAAAAACAATGGATTGTAGTTATTTGCAAACTCTAGGGAGAATTTGGGATGATTCTAGTCGTTGCACAAACATGTACAAGTAAACTACGCAACTCTTCACCATACTTTGAATTGAAACATCGTATTACTTGTTGGGTTATTGGATCAATCGTGAGAACTGCAGATTTGGGATGCAGTTCCATGCATCACATAGAAATTTAGCAGAGACAGCTATTTGATTCTACTACCTGAGTTTATCAGTTTTTTGTGGTAAAAAAGGTTACAAGATGATGTACTCTCCAAATTGAGTTGATGATTTGTATATCTGATTAGGAACTTCAGATATGCGTTGATGACATGAGTTTGATTGATGTTTGGTACCTAGATTCGTTCCCTGATTCGAATCATGGTTCATGGTTCGCTACAGTATTTTCTCTCATAAAAAATACACGTAAATCGAAAATGGTTCTAATCCATGAACCAAACGTCTCCTTAGTTACCGTCGAATCTCTGAAAAAACATTATTTTTTTCACTTTTTTTTTAAAGAAACGAGAAACTTAATTGATCAAGGAATAGAATAGAAATGAAGTTTCAAATTGATGAGGAACCCATCGGAGAAGACAAGGACAACAGGAAAAAAAAAAGGATGAGGAATCCATCGACGAAGAGGAAAGAAAAAAAAAAAAAAAAAAAAAAAAAAAAAAAAACACTAAAAGCTCAACTGCAGGATGCACTTGTTGCTATTAGAAATGATAAACCTGGAGTTCATGAAGGTGATATTAGTCGTCTTAAAAAATTTCATGAAGGTGATATTAGTTGTCTTAAATATATCTCAACTGCAGGATGCACTTGTTGCTATTAGAGGTGATAAACCTGGAAATTCATGAAGGTGATATCAGTTGTCTTGAATATATCTCAACTGCAGGATGCACTTGTTGCTATTAGGGGTGGTCGTATCCCTCCCCCTGGAAGCATGCCATCTTTTGAAGAGATTAAGGAAATCTTGGGTTTCAACATTTATTATGAAGAAGAGAAGCGGTATGCTACTAGCAGATCCAGCTTTGGCCAGCTATCTTCGCAGAGAGGTGAGAGAGAGACCTGATACCAATATTGTTGTTTATCACGAGTTGCAATCATTTAATTTCGTATATTTTATTGCTCCAACTTCCTCTCCTCTCTTTACAGTTGATAATTTGCAACTGATCGCTTATGATGGTAAAGTTATGAGTGGTAACTTTCATAGCAGCTATTTGATAATTATAAAATTCATCTAGTGGAGTTCATAATTTGCATGGACCATTTTCCTTGTTTTGTCTCTGTATTGTAGGATGGTCTCTTTTTTTTTTTTTATGGCTTTTTCTAGACTTCTTTGTGCAGACTTTAAAGATGTAACTCTCTTATCGTTCCTTTTGGATTGAAAGGATGTATTGTACTTATGTTTCTTTTTTTCCATTGTTGGTGGATAGTAGACCTGGTTTCTCTCTTTTCTTTTAGTTGTTATTGTTTGTTTTTGTAGTTTTGTCAGTTTTATTTTTTTTTTTAAAATGTAAACATTTTCTTTTTTAGGAACATGACAACAGCTGCACTAAGAGTATAAAGTAACGTGAAATACAGGCAATAAAAATAATTATGCATATATATTAAACGATAGCCTTCTCATTAATTGTTCTAAAGTAAGGTTATTTTTCAGTGAGCAGTAGTGTATATGATATTCAACAGAGGGCTCAAGATAACACAGAGCAAAGAGATCAAAGTCCTGAAGATCCTGTAGTCGAAGTAATAACTCCTGATGTGTACAATAACTATGGTGCAGATGGTTCAAGGGATCCTTTTTCTGGGATCTGGTCTCGTACGTTGAGAATAAAGATAACTGGAAGAGATGGTTTTGAGAAACTTGATGTTAGAATTCCGGTTAGTCATTCTATTCTTTATGGTTTCTGTAGCATAAGGAGAAAGAAAAAGAGATTATATTGACTTATAAATGAACTTGATATATTTCTTTAAATTTTTCTAAAACTCAAGAAAACTACTTTAACAGAAAAGAAGGAAAGGATAGGCCCAGTAGACAAGGACATATTTATGTTTGGTAGATTTCTACTATTGGTACCAACTGGGTTCTGATTTTAATATAAGTTCATACTGTTTAAACGTCAAGGTCCTAACCTGAATCTGCTCTAGTTGCACACAATGGCTGTCTAATTAAAGCAAACCTTGAATTTCCTATTTTTTTGCTAACTGTTAATTTCCTGTTCTCCTTATTTTGTTACCGTTTCAACAGGCTGGATTCTTGGAAGGAGTCACCAATATAGTCCCAGGTATTATTTATGTTTTCTAGCTTGTTGCATAATGACTTTTGTTTCGCTTTTTTTCTTGAAAGCTCAGGAAATCACTCTGTTATACAGCTTTGGGTGGAGTGAATCTCAAAGCTCTGTTGGACGATGCAGCTCATGAACCAGGAGGGAAGCTCTTGTTAGATTTTAATGATAGAATCGGAGATCGTATCCAAGTATTTCTGGACTAACCAACTTGCAACCAACCTTTGGCTAGTCCATTATTGCTGCAACCAGAGCCATATTATTTTTTATAGATTAAATATAGAGACATATTATGAGCAAAAAAAAAAAAAGTATAGACACAAGTAATGTTCTCGCTCTCTTTTCTTTATCTTTATATGTATTTTTTTCTTCTTAAGAGATCAATTTAATGTAAATGATGAACAATGCACCTGCAGCAAGAAGACCGATGAAAAGCTTGAAAAGAATTAAAAAGTAAAGAAATTTGGTAAAATAATTTGAGAAGTCATTTGAGCCTGGTTTTTAAAGTTAAAGGCTGCTGCAGAAAAAAATTTTGGCATGTGGAAATGGTATGAACCAGGGACACATCTTTCTTCTTTCCCAAAGGGGGGGAAAAACAATGCCATTTTTTCAGGTTGTTTCGCCAATTTGAGTTGAGTACTTAAATTAAAAAGTGACTTCATATGACGGAAAATATTATAACAAAAAAAATTAAATTTGAATTTTTGGGAAGAAAAATTCTATCTCAAAAATTAGAGTCGTGATTTGAACTAGCTAATTAAATGAGGTTTGGTTTTATTTGTTTTAGGGAAAATTTCATATTAGTATCTTGTATTTTAGTATAATTGTTTTTTTAGTACTCTATATTTTTAATAATTTTAAATTAATACTTTGACGTTTTAAAAAATTACTTTTTAGTATTTTGAAGTCATTTTTTAAGATTTAAAATGTCAAATTTACCCTTTAATTTTGTGCATAGCTTCATTGGATATAATCTAGAGATGCAAGAATGGGCCGGCCCGGCCCAGCCTAGCCCATTCTCCTTAGGCCCACGCAGACCGCGGGCCGGGCCGACCTAGCCCATGAATTTTGTGGGCCGGGCCGGCCCGTATAAGAATGACCTCAGCCCAGCCCACACTACGGGTCAATTTTACGTAGGCCAGGCTGGGCCATGCCGCGGGCCAGGATGGGCTGTGCCGCGGGCCTTGAATGGGCCGGCCCACTCAAGGCCCATCTTAGCCCATCATGGGTTTAGATATGCCAGCCGATCTAAACATACAATTTTTTAATTTTTTTTTTATTTTTATTTTTGAATTTTTAAATAAGTTAACAAATATATAAATTTGAATAGTCAATAGAAATATGAAAAATGATATTTTATTTACAATTACCTTATTAAATAAAAATCTTTTGAAGGAAAACCCAATTGGGCATAACCTTGGTAAAAAAAAAAAAAGAGTACAATAAGGATAATTATATATAAGATGTTTACAAAATTACTAAAAAAAAGAAAAAAAAAAGCATACAAATATTATAGGCCTAGATGGGTTGGGCTAAGCCGGGCCATTATGGGCCTAGACGGGCCGGGCTTAGCCGGCCCAAGTCCGGCCTGGCCCATGATTTTTCATGGGCCGATATATGTTGGCCTAGCCCAACCCACTAATATTTATAGACTTAACCGTGTCTTAAATAGTAACGGGCCGCACCGGCCCGACCCGTCACTGTATCAGGATGGGCCTGGGCCGGCCCATTGTTGCATCTTTAGTATAATCTTGGTTCGTGGTCTAGATTGTGGCGTGAGAATTAACGAGAGTTGTAGAGTGGCTTGGGAGATCGTGCAATTGATAGCTTGGTGTTCTCTTTGTTCTTGCCTGTTCGTTGGCTTTGTTTTACTTGAAGTTACTGTGGCTATGTTTAGAATTAATTTTGTTTTTGTTTTTTATGTTTTTTGAAAAAAAAAAATGTTTTTAAAACGGCATTTAGCGTAATAAAGATAAAAAATAAAAATAAAAATAATTTTTTAATTTAGTGTAAAATGAGAGAGAAATGAAAAATAACTTTTAATAGTTTTTCATTTTTTGTTTTTATTTTCTCCTCTCTCGAGTAGAGAGAGAAAAAGATATTAATGAGATTTTTACACTGAAAATAATCTCTTGATAAAACTACCAAACGTATTTTTAAAAATAATTTCTATCTAAGATTGAAAACGTTTTCATTTTTATTTTCATATAAAATATAAAATCATTTTAGAACGAATTCCAAACGCGTCATATATTTCACTTGGCTTTGCAATTGTAGTTAGAGACGAGCGCGTTGGAATTACACATGAAAAACAGATTGCAATTGGAGCCGTTTGTATTTGAACAGTTTCAGAAGTTCCTTGCCACGAAGCCGCATACTATGCATGTCTCCTCACATATAGGTTTGTCATCTTCTAGTCGGTCAGGTATGTCTCATTCTACATGGGCCTTAGATTCGGGTTCTTCTCACTATATGTCACATGATTATTTATCTTTTTCTTCCATATGTCATGCATCATCTGTATCTGTCATGACTACTGATGGCACTCATATGCCATTAGCAGGCGTCAGTTCTATTTGCACATCTAATTTTTCTCTTACCAATGTTTATTATATTCTTAATCTTAAGTTGAACCTTGTTTTTGTTAGTCAATTATGTTACTCTGGTTACACAGTCTCTTTTTCTGCTGCTTCTTATCATGTGTAGGATCCACGGTCTCAGAAGATGATTGGGAATGACCGTAGGCAAGGGAGAATATACATTTTGGATGAGCTGAAAGTACCTGAGGTTGCTGCTTTCAGTGTTGACTTATCCTCCTTTCGTTTGTGTTCCAATTCTTCTAACTTTTATTTATGGCATTCTCATCTAGGACATATTTCAGTTTCTCGTTTAAAATACTTGACATCCACAGGAGCATTAGGAAATTTGCAAACTCGTGATATTTCAGCTTGTAGTGGTTGTAAACTAGCAAAATTTTCTGCCTTGCCCTTTTACAAAAGTATTTGTGTCTCTTCCCTCATTTGACTTAATTCATTTTGATGTGTGGGGCGCTTTTACTATTGTCACAAAAAGGAATCTAAATAATGTCTCTTTTATTAATGATTGTACTCGTTATTATTGAGTTTATCTTATGAAACGTCGCTCTGACTTTTTTAGTATTTTCAGCATCTTTCGAGCTATGGTCAAAACTCAACATTTGGCTGTTATCTAAGTGTTTTCAATGCGATTTGGGTGAGGAGTATACTTCTAATGCTTTTTCCAAACTACTTCCTTTAGATGGAACCATTCGCCATAGTTCTTGCATGGATACTCCTGAATAAAATGGTATTACTGAGCAAAAACATAAGCATCTTGTTAAGACTCTTGTTCGCTTTTATTATTAGCCTATCTTCCTAACGTATTCTATGTTCTTAATGTATTCTGGGGGAAGCAATCCTTACCGCTACTCATTTGATTAATAGGATTCCAATCTATAAAGACCGATATATTTTTAACTTGACGTGTAACAAAGACCGATATATATGGTATTGAAATCCTATCCCTCCATTTACCAACTGAATTAATTCAAATTGAAGCTGGATATTTCTAAGTTGGAGTACGTGGTTGTTTAGACACATTCAAAAAGGAAGGAAAAAAAAAGTTGGAATATGGTTGGATGAGGGTCGGTGTTATTAGATGTGAGTACGTGGTTGGAATGGTAGGTTTTTTTAAGTCTTCGTACCCCTGAGATAGAAAGCATTATTTTGTGCTACCACACCACACTTAATTGGTGGAAAAGGAGTTTAAAATTCACATGGTCCTTAAACAAAGAATTAAAAGTAAAAAAATAAAATAAAATAATAAAAAATAATAAAAAAATAGAAGAAAACAAAAGGGTAATTGTGACTCAATAATTAGCATCAACAACTTATCCTCAATGTTACACATTTTCTTCATGCCATCTTAGAGTAAAAAATTTAAGCTTAACATACAAACAAAAGTATAATACAAGGAAAAGAATAACTGCGTTTTTTGCCACATTTCCTTCAGCGAAAGAAACAAACTTCAATTCACTCACGAACTTACATGACGGTTACTTCGTAATATATACATATTTATTGCAAGAATTTCCAGCAGATTCAAATCACTACGAAGTATCCAAGGACAACTTCCTTTATCAAGCTTATGATGGCAACAAAATTGGTCTGATGCCCCACTTTATGAACCTCTATGTTGTGAAGCCATTACTATCATTAGAGAACTCTTACGTAGTTTGTTTACAACAGCAGGTGCAATGCTCAAGTTCTTTGTTGAGCGTCTGTAAGGAAAAGAAATGGAAACATGTCAAGGACATTAAAAAAGATATTAACAAAATTCCTATTTTTTTTTTTTTTTTTTTCGGAAAGCTGAAGTGCAATTTTGATTACAACTTCCCGTGTGTTGCCAAGAGAAAAAGTGCATCTTTGAAAGATAAACTTGATACACAATGCATGGTACATATGGCATTGGCTAAGGGCACTAATATTTTATGCCAAATGATAGTTACTAGACTTTGAATCACAGACTTTTCTTTTGCTGAAAAATGGGTGTAGAAGTTGGTGTCCTGGCACTATTCTAATCTTTATATCAACACACGTCTAAGAAAGACAAAAAACCCAAAGGACAATGTTATTATTTGCGGTGTTTTAACTTGTCACAAACCTGGACTTGGTCTTGAAGACCCTTGATATGTTGTACAGCCAAATCCAACATGTCTGCATAGCTTGTTTGCTGAAACCACATTTTCGAAGTAAGTTCATATTATCAGTTGTGTTCATCAACACTAAAGGTAATTTCATAAAAATGTCGATAATGTTGCAGAGCATTTTGTCCCTGTGAACATCTGGGGTAATCTGCTCTCTTACACTATGACCGATTCTGGAAATATTCTGATACTAATGTGAAATATAACTAGTTTCCATTGCTCAATTCACACTCCTATCTAAATCTAACAAAATATTATGACCTATCATGTACACTTGATGAGCTTATCATATTCATAACAAGTTTCTATTGCTCAAGATCACAAAGAAAATAGTAATGACGCATAATGATTCTGACTACATTGGATAGGTCCATAGATCTTTTTAGCAAACTTGTACTTTCCTTCAACGCAATTTTTTCGTGCTTGAGGTCTTCATATTCTAGCTTCCACTTTGGGAATTGTTAAGCATAGCAAATTATCTACTACACAAGTGTTTGTTTGCCAGCCCAATTAGTGGGTTGCCTGCCCCAATTAGCTATAAAAAAAAAAAAAAAAAAAAAGACCTTT